ACACGCCCGCTTTCATATATTAACTTAGTTTTTCTCTCCCCTCCATTGGCAAGAAAAATAATAACAATAATGCAATGGGCAAGATGGCATCTTTTTTCTCCGTAAGTAAGACAAATAAGAAGATAGAGAAAGTATGAAAGCACGTTCGCGATAAAAGTGGTTGGACAATGAGTAAGTGCGTCCATCAATCTTAATGAAGGATCGATCGGCGTACGAAACGATTTGTTACAGACTCATAAACAACGCATGCACTTGCAACCCTCTTACACTGGCTAAACAATCCATGTACCTAATCGTAATTATGACAACCATTATAATTAATTATCATATCATCCCTCGCCCCCTGACCAGTCGCGATATTAATATTTAACTTGGCAGTAAGTACACAAAGCGACTCAATTTTCTCTCATAACAATTTAATAACCCTTTAATAACATCGCAGGCGTTATACAGAAAATTAATTCCCGCCTGAGCCACTTCACTCGTAATAATTCGTGGAAGAGGCGTTTCGCAGGAATGTCATTTATGCAGGTAAACATTAAGATGAAAACGAAATCTTAATAATTGTGACACAAACATTATATAGAAGAGAAACTTAATGGCTTTTCTCGTTCCTTCTATCATTTCTCTCTGTCCTTTTACTCTCTCCTCACTCACAATTTCGCGAAGATGAAATGGGATATTAAATTAAAGCAGCAATTGCCGAGAAAACTTGTGCATGTAAAGTTTATTCCCCTTTACGTCTTTAGTTTAATCGTTCCCATTTTTGTTTCCATCCCCTGCCAGACGAATTAATAACTTTAAATGTAATTCTGCGATAAACTCAACGAGAATATAGTAATCCATTAAGTCACGCTGATGAATGTTTAACTTCATCGGAATTATTTGAGTATTAAAACTGTAATTAATTAGTTTCCTACAACTTTTGACGACTACATTCTTGTTTTTAGGTTCGGGTTGAGTATTAAATTACGTAAGTCGCGACCTTTATTCCAGAAGGGTGCCAATTCTATACATTACGGTTGTTTGTTCTCGCCACAAATCAATGCACTAGGTACTTCAGCCTCGTATAGTACAAACGAATCTTAAAGTGAAGAAGCATTTACCAGAAGACTAGGTTTGCACTTTTCAGGTGATAGAATGCAACCCTGTTCTTAACCTACTCCTTTGTATGACAAACATAGTAAACACACTATTTCTACAATTTGCTTAAATAAGACCAATACCTGCCCTTTTTCTGTTCATCAATGTATTCTACTCATAGTAGTATATGGGTAGTTTGAAATGCTTTGTTACTGATCTACAGGGTATTAAAATTTCAAAATTTTTTTACAGTTTTTGAGAGATTTTGCTCAAAAATAAGTTACGTTGAAGGGCTTATATCATTGGTCATATCAATGGTCATGGTCCGTTTTCTACCCCTGAACTCTTTTTCGGTGCGCCACTAGTAGATTATAAAATAAGAGTTTGATTTTATGATTCGTTTGGGAACTTTTTGGTTTCTTGTAATTTTTTTTATTTGCGACCGATATCGAGGAAAAAAATGAAAATTTTTGGTAGATAGTAAAATGAAAGTAAAATAATTCTGCCTTTATTTAGATAATCTCTCTTCTTTTGAAATTGAATCTCGTGTTTGCAGGAGGTACAAAGGAAAAACTTTCAAAAACGTGAAATTATAACACCATGTAGCTAACTAACAAAGCATATTTAGATCATATTTAGGAAGCTGAAGCCCTTATGTTCTAGTGTTTCCGTCTATTATAGGATTGTGAGTTATGAGTCTAGAGCTGGCGTTAATTGACGGATTTTAAGCGAAGGGAGTTAATGGTTAAAATTGTCCGAGTTCATTAATAAAGCACCATTTTAGGGCGTTGATTAATTAAACAAGTTAAAAAAGTCTCTGATGTGCCATAATTAGGCTTAAGCGCCTTCTTTAGGCTAAGCGGCGCCAGAATAATTCGATTGTGCATATACAGAGTGTCTTAAATTGAGTAGGATAACATTGGTATCTTTACAGATTCGGTTAAATTGGCAAAGTTGTGGAGTTTTTGATGCTGCTGGATATTCCATTGCGATATTTTGCAAGATAATTGCAAAATAAGTAAAAATCGCCATTTTTAACAGTTCAAATATTTCAGTAACAACGAGAACTATTGATTAATTCAAGTTACAACACGCGAATTATTGTTTACAGGAATCCGCGAAAACATTCAATGAAGGGTGTCAGAATCAAAGCGTAATTCCTATATTTCTTGCTCGTGTATCAAACAACGTGGATTTAGGGGGAATAAGTAGGTGGAGTCTCTCGTGGGAGTATTGACATCCTTATGACTGGAAAGGATTGTCAGGAGGATATATGAATCTGGACAGATAAAAATACTGTATTTTGTAAAAACGGCTTACAGGAGATTTGCCTGTTTTTCCCTTAAACTTCTGATAGCCCGTTTTTGTTCTAGAAGAATTTCTTTGGCATATGGAGAGTAACCACATAGTTTTTGCTAGCTTGGCGCATATAATTTGGATTTGCGATTCCCACTTGACTCTGGGGTCAATCTGGATGTCAATGAGACGTACAGATTCGCCTGGTGTTCCCAGCGGTCCAGAGTAAATGTGAACTATGTGGTTTTATTTTCGTTTGCTAATATGTCATTAGCCTAGAACTATTATTTCACCACAATAACGCTTTCTCGAATTTGTTTATCAGCTAATTCAGCCATTGCTCCGTTCTGCTTCATCTACATAGATGATTACTGTAGTCTGAAGATGTGCAGGTAGATTGTTTATATATATTATAAACAGCATCAGTCCTAGAAGTGACCCTTGGGGCACTCCATGTTTTACAGTTAATGTTTGGCTGAGTGTATTATTGATGTAGACTTGTTGTGTTCTGTTTTGTAGGAGATATTAAATTTAAAGGTGAGCCACGGAAACTACAGTGTTCAATTTTCGCAAGAAGCATGAGCGGTTCATAGAACCAAAGGCTTCCGAAGAGGCAGCTTTTCCTTACATTATGAATGTTTGAGATAATTCAGCTAATTGTGATAACTAGAGTGCGGATTTATGGCATTTTGCCTACACGTTAATGTTGAATGCAGAACATAATGGTTTTGGATATACACGTTTCATGAAAAAAGGAAGCGTTTGAGGCTATTTTTATTTTGCCTTTTTTGCTCTTTTTTAACAATGGTGCTTTAAATACCTTTAAACGCTTTTTCTGGCTTTTTTTTACATTTCTACACTGAGATTAGAATAATATCTCGCATATTAACTTAATGAGGGCAAGAATGTTGGGATTTGAATTTTTTTAATGAATAGCGCACTGTAAAAAATTAGAATCCCAAAATTTGCCACTTGACGAATCAATTAAAATCGTAGAAGATTTTCAAAGAGAAACAAATAAGATAAACGGTCCAATAGCCGATATAGTTCAGAAGAAATTAGAGGACGTGATAACAAAAATTCTGGTTTTCTTATTCTTTCGAAAATCTCCAAAAGCCAGAAGCCTAAACGGAAATTTCGTTGAAGATTTAAAAGCACATAGTACAGCACCATTAAACGTCTTTACATTTGCACCAATTACTTCTGCAGATGTCGAGAGAAGCTTTTCCGTCTATAAAAATATTTTATCGGACCGAAGGCAAAATTTTTTAATTCCGAAAGGAGTTGATTTTTATTTTTATTAACCATGGCAAAGTCACTTATTTAGTAGTCAAGGAAATTACAAACGAATCGCCGGTTTAAAGGAATACATAGTGCTGTGGCCCCACGTTAAGCACCAAATCCCTCCTCATGCATCAGGCATCTGTTACAAAGGAAAATCCCAATATTGATTGATGACTGAAATGAATAATTTGGGAGACTACGGATTTGATCAACTTCCGAAATTAACAAATAATTTTTTACCAACATCTGAAATAAATGTTGGATACGAAAATAAAAATGTGACATGAATATTCTATCCGGTTCGCACAATGGGTTCAAATAAACACACAATTAATTGATTGACAACAATTTATTGCAAAACACATTAAATGAAAGAATTTAAAACAACGCTCCTGGAAAAAAGAGAAGCTACACAGCCTGTTTGGACATATTACCCCGCACGCAAGCGTTCGATAATTAAAAATAGAAAATGAGAAATAGTCTGGCATGTTGAATACGATGATGAACATTATCGGTGACTGCTAGAACTTGATAACTTTTTCCGTCAAACGGACAACGCGCTTTAAACTTCTCACAACTTTGAAACAACTCAATTATCTTTGTTCTGTACCGACTTATTACGAAAATGACGAACTACGCCTTCAATTAATCAAATAGGATGAACCGTCCGAATAAAAAATACCGTAAAACGTCAACCGTCGCGAACCAGTTAGCTGCAGCCTCTTTTCTACCTTGCCTCACATATTTACGGAAACACCTCTTCCATTATAGAATAATCTCCTTCCGGTATTTACCAAAAATACGCCATTTACAATTAGATTAGATAACACCGACTGCGAAGGAACGCGTCCTCATTTACGTCGTAATAATGTGCACATCGTTGGCCATCTCTTGTTATCAACACCAGAACACGTGCGTTCAGTAAATTATATCACACTGAAATAAAACCCTTTATAAAAATACGCAAACTTAACCAGATAACTTAATCTATCTTATCTAATTTACACAAATGGTGCAAATATAAACATTCTAAAATGCCAAAAGAAAGCTAAGTCATAAATTCAAATGAAACGAACCAATTCTAGGCTTATTCATAAATACCCCCGTTCTTTTTCTGCGTAGTTAATTTCTGTTTTACATTGTATTATTTATGGAGAAACGGTAATGAGAAAATACGTAACTTTAAGTAACTCAACTTACAATTGAAAAGCAATTAACTAGATGTGGGTAAACAGATAGATAGTAATAAAAAGATAGATAATAATGAAGAAAAGAATAAACCAGAAGTAAAATTCCAAAAATCATCATTTAAAGCCAAAGTTAATGTTGGTACATACCGTAAACGGCCTTAGTACTTGTAAACGTCGGTCGGTTAGTTCAGTGAGATGGTAGAGAGTCTTGAAATCGTCATCTTCGCGGAAGGGGACGTTGTTGAGGACTTCTAGCAGTGGAGGCAGGTGGTGAGACAGTTCAGTACTGCAATTTAACATCCACATAAAGGCCTTCATATGTGTCTTACGTTTTACTTATTATTTCGAAATCAATTTTGAAGTTGAGGGGGGAGTGGACCCTCCCTCATTTATGCTAAAGAGATGTGCAAGCAAAAGATGAAACTGCGTTTAAATGTGCAAACTATGCGATGAGGTACAACTGAGGGACTAACTTCGCGAGGGTTGTGATCATCGTAAAGTTAGTGGAGGAACCAGGAAAATAATTCCATAAATCACCATTGTGAACTTTATTGTTTCCAATACTTTGATCTATGCCACCTGACGTCTTACACTAACAAAGAAACGAGAGAAGATCAATATAGTGTTTATATAACACGTTTTAAAAGATTTTTATGCTAATTTAATGAAGATCATAAAATCGAAACGTACTTTATTTTTTTTATGCAGTAATTAAGCACACAACGTAATAAACTGTTATTCTAATGCCACACACGACGATGTACGCTCTGACACAGATCGCATTCTACTAACATCTCCTATTTAATACCTAACAATAACAAATGTTCTTAAACGCGGAAAACGTAATTTATTTCCTTTTGTATGTAATTGTATATAAAGCGAGATGTGAAATTAATTCAAAAGAAAATTTATTCATTTCTTTACTTAAATTGGATTTTCCGGTTATAAATTATCTGTAGGATGGGAGTTAATATAATTTCAAAAGTGTTACTCTCAGGGGGTGCTTTATATTCTCGCTTTAATATATTTCATTTGGAAATGAACGTCTTTAGATTTACATAATTAATAAAATTTGGAAAGAAATTTCGTATCTTCTCCCTGTGAACGTTGGCATAGGCGTAGATAGACTGGGGGGGGGGGGGGGGGGGGAGGAGCCATAACACTCAAGTTTTTTACATAGTTTTAGAATGTTTCTACACATTTCTTATGCAATAAATTCACTAATTATGTTGTTCGATTATGGAAAACGATTTTTAAAAACAATTTTTATTTTTATGACAACGTTACAATGAGAATCCGGACTGAACTTGACTGACTACAATAATGAAAAACTACATATAATTATAAGTTTCCTTATCGAAGGAATGTGCTGATGTCGGTGCTGATGTCGTGTGAAGGGCTACCATAACTCCTCCATCCTTAAATACAAATCCTAGGGTTAGGATTTGTTAACTTTATATCGGGGGCTTCTTCTTTGGGTTTAGAAACCTTAATTGGCAAAATGTTATTTTTGTAGGCATAAGCTATGAAAATCACAAGTAAAATTATAAATACATATGTTAATATTGTCCAGATACTAATGTTATTAAAATGCACTGTTTCAGTTGACATCGCGTCGATTTTGTTGTGTTGCACTTCTAGAGCACTTTGAATGTTTTTTACTTCGTCGAAATTAATTATGTCCATTTTTATAGGTTTAAATTGTAGCTGTGATTCTTGCAATTGAACTGTATCATTTATTTTTAATTTTGGAAGTTTGATTATTTTAAAGTCGTTTTTATAGTTTTCGTTGTTTTTTATTTTTATATCATCGATTTGAATTTCACAAACGCGGTTTAATTCTAAAACGTATGCTCCGTTAAGCGGTATGTTGTCTTTACTTTGACCACACTGTTGAATGGCGACAATGTTCGTGGGCGTAACGACGATCCACTTGTTATCTTCCACTTTTTGGACTTTTACATTAGTGATGGACACGGGTATTTGGCGGCAATTTGACGTATTTTGGGAATATGTTAGCATTTGGACCTCACATGGGGCATCTTCTTCTTTCTTGATTGTTACTGGGTTGGCTTCTTCGCAGATGTATTCTCCTGACGTGATTTCTCGGCACTTGTTGTCGAAGAGCATATAGGATTTTTTGTTAAGGATTAAATATTTGGATTTTGGAAATATTGCTTGGAATAGATTAACTGTGGGTACCGGAAGGGAATATAGATGGTAATAATTATAATTTTCTCTTTCTACTAAAGGAACTTGTAAAACAAAAACGGTTTCGTTTCCCTTGCTATAGCTTTTAACTTCAATGATTTTTTCGAACAGTAAAATATTGACTAATGTGGGTTCAAAGGGGAGTTTGTTTTGATACATTTGTTGATTTATTAAATTCATTTCTTGTAATAGGTCATTTGGATCGATAATTGAATTATGAAAAGTATTTAATTTCGAAAACGTAATAGCTGTCTCGATTTTCTCTAAAACATCGTATATAATTTGAAAAGCTGTTATTAATTGAGATATTACCATTTGAATCAGAAAATAGCTGTGAGTTTCAATTTGTCCTAACTCGATAGTTTTAAGAACGTGTTCAATTTGCATTATTCTAGATTTCAAAATATATTGATTATGTGCCAGTTTTTCAACATTGGTCTTAAAAAGGTTAATTGAATTTTGTAAAAGTGTTATTTGTTCATGCATAAGGGTTTTTATTTTTTGTTGGTTATCTGATAAGGTCGAAATCGATTTATCGTATTTTTCCGCGTCTTCTTGATCAAGGTTTCCTGTCAAAGCTTTTATTAGTGTTCCTAAGCCATTAATTAGTCCACGTCTTTTCCTTTTATGATCTGAAGGATTCAGTTGTTTAATTTGTGTGTAAATTTTTTCTTCTAAATTATTAATGAGATTGTACGAATTGTGAAATTCGTTCCTATACCTAATCGTATTACTAGTGTTGGATTCTAAAGCATTTTTAAGCATTGTGAAACTATTGCGAAGCGAAAAATATTCCTTAATAACTAAGCTTATATCGTAAATTTGAATAAATGACCAATGGTCTATTTTATTTTGGGCGTTACCTATTTTTAAAGGTAGTAAGCCAGGGTTGTCGTTCATTGGGATGAATTTGGGGGGTTCTTGTCCGTTTGTTCCGATGAGGAACCTGTAACAACAGGGGGTCTTTTAAGTTCTTTTATATGCACTATCTCCCTTTTGTTTTTGTGATTTATTTCGGCACGGTTTCTTTCTAAAAGTCTAGTTATTGTAAATGGTCCTAAAAATTTGTTATGCTTTTTACCGCGGGAGGATTTTGGATTTTGTTTGAATACTTTCTGTCCGACTTTGAACTCGGAGTTGACGTTTCCTTGGTTATTATGTTTGTCTACTATTTCTTGCTTTTGTGTTTTAAGTTTTTCGGTAACATTTTTGTAAACGTGTTCTAATTTTTGTTTGTGGTTCTCTGCATAATCAGAGTAAAAACTTTCGGGTAAAAATATTTCTTCTGGATTTCGGGATTTTGTATGTCCAAAGGTGAGTTCGAAAGGTGTAAAACTTGTTGAGCTGTGTATTGAATTATTATAGCCGATTATTGCATAATCTATCAAATTCTGAGTATCGTTTGGATATTTTTCTTGTAAGATTCTGAGATGTTCAATTAATGTGGAGTGAAAACGTTCTATTGGGCTGTTTGATTCGTGATGTTGAGGAGTAGTAAAATGAACATTTATTTTGTGCACTTTTAAAATTTCTTTCACTGTGTCGTTATTGAATTCTGTGCCTTTGTCAATTATAATTTTTTCGGGTACGCCAAAAGATGTGAAAAATTTGATTAGAGCGTTACTGATATTTATCGCGGTTTTTCCTTCAATTGGAATCGCTTGTGCATACTTTGTAAATGCGTCTATTAGGGTAAGAAAATTTTTGTTGTTATAAAAGAATAAATCCAAGTGTATATTTTGAAAAGGTTTACTAGCAGTTTCGGTTATCATAAGTGGAGTGTAAGGGGGATGTCTACCATATTTTGTGCGTTGGCATATTTCACAAGAATTGATAAAGTTTGTAATTGTGGGTTTCATATTTTTCCAATAATAATTATTTTTAATTTTTTCGAAAGTCTCATTTATACCTCTGTGATTGGTTTTACCTTCGTGGTAATTTTTTATTAACATTATTTGTTCGTCTGGGTCTGTTATCGTATTGACCATTTTTAAACAACGGAATAATTTGGGGCCTTTTTCTGAAAAGTTATCTATAAATACTTTACTAAAATCTTCGTACAATTGGTCTGTATGGAAGTACATGCAATATGTTTTTTCTGACATAGTGTATTCTTTCAAAAAATCTAAAATAAATTGATAGTTGTTCTTAGGCGGGATTTTAATTGTTATTATCTTATGGTTTTCGTAATTTGATAGTTTAACATTAAGTTTAAAGTGAACATTTGGGTATACTAAAATTTGGTTTACCTTGTTATTAATAATTTCGTCAAAAATTTTGATTCCAGGATTTGTTGTTTCATTAAAGGTACTGTGTTGGGTTGTTGAGATATTATCACTAGGTTGAACAGGGGGTTGTATTTGTATATCTGATAAAATTTGAATTTTAGGATTTTGTCGTTGGTCATTAATTGTCAATTCACTTGTACTTGGTTGTGGTTCATCAACAGCAGGAGGTGCGGGAAATTCGTCTAAATTTGTCATTTGTTGTTCCACGTAATTTCTTAAAAATTCTAAGGATTCTGCGTCTATGTCTCCGGGGTTATTAATTACTGATTCGGTTTCAAAAGCGTTTATCTGCACGCGCGACAAGGCGTCTGCATTGGTGTTTATTTTGCCGGGTTTATAAATAATGTCATAGTCATATTCTTCTAGCTTTAAGCGCCATCTAATTAATTTGGAATTTGGTTCATGAAGCTTAAAAAGCCAAGTAAGGGGACGGTGATCTGTATATATTGTGAATTTTCTTCCGAAGAGATAAGGTCTAAAATATTTACATGCCCAAACAATGGCAAGTAACTCTTTTTCTATGGTGCTGTACCGTTGTTCGGAATCGTTTAAGGTTCGTGAGGCAAAAGCGACAGGTTTGTCGGAGCAAACTGTTCCTTGGGAAAGAATAGCTGCAATTGCGACATTACTCGCATCTGTAGTTAAAATGAATTTTTGAGTGAAGTCAGGGTATTGAAGAATAGGTGCGTTGATTAATAAATTTTTACAAGTATTGAAGGCGGAAATGAATTTGTCATCATGAAT